TAAACAGCAATGTCCTAGGCATTAGTGAGCTGAAATGGACTGGTATTGGCCATTTTGAATCAGACAATAAAATGGTATACTATGTCAGGAATTACAAATTGAAGAGGAAAGGCATTGCATTCGTCATCAGAAAGAAGATTTCAAGATCTATCCTGAAGTACAATGCTGTCAGTGATATGATAATATCCATACACCTACAAGGAAGACCAGTTAATACGACTATTATTCAAATTTACACACCAACCACTAATGCCAAAGATGAAGAAATTGAAGATTTTTACCAACTTCTGTAGTCTGAAATTGATCGGACGTGCAATCAAAATGCATTGATAAATACTGGTGATTGGAATGCAAAAGTTGGAAATGAAGAAAAATTGGTAGTTGGAAAATATGGCCTTCGTGATAGAAGTGACATCAGAGATCACATGATAAAGTTTTACAAGACCAATGATTTCTTCATTGCAAATACCTTTTAGCAACAACATAAACGGCGACTATACATGTGGACCTCGCCAGCTGGAATGCACAGGAATCAAATTGACTACATCTGTGGAAGGAGATGATAGAAAAGCTCAATATTATCAGTTAGAGCAAGGCCAGGGGCTGACTGTGTAACAGACCATCAATTGCTCCTATGCAAGTTCAAGTTGAAGCTGACGAAAATTAGAACAAGTCCAAAAGAGCCAAAGTATGACCTTGAGATTATTCCACCTGAGTTAGAGGCCGTCTCAAGAATAGATTTGACTCATTAAACACTAATGACCAAAGACCAGATGAGTTATGGAATGACATCAGGGACATCAGACATGAAGAAAGCAAGAGGTCCTTAAAAAGACAGGAAAGAAAGAAAAGCTCAGAATGGTTGTCAGAAGAGACTCTGAAACTTGCTCTTGAGCATAGAGTAGCTAAAGTGAAAGGAAGAAATGATGAAGTAAAAGAGCTGAACAGAAGATTTCAAAAGGCAGCTCCAGAAGACAAAGTATTATAATGAAAACTGCCAAGACCTAGAGTAAGAATACCAAAAGGGAGGAATACACTCTGTATTTCTCAAGCTGAAAGAACTGAAGAGGAAATTCAAGCCTTAAGTTGCAATATTGAAGGATTCTATGGGGAAAGTATTAAACGATGCAGGAAGCATCAAAAGAAGATGTAAGGAATACACCCAGTCACTGTACCAAAAAAAAAATGGTCAATGTTCAACCATTTAGGAAGTACCATATGATCAGGAACCAATGATACTGAAGGAAGAGGCCCAAGCTGCACTGAAATCATTGGTGAAAAACAGGGCTCCAGGAGTTGACAGAATACCAATTGAAATGTTTCAACAAATGGATACAGCTCTGGAAGTGCTCACTTGTCTATGCCAAGAAATTGGAAGACAGCTACCTGGCCAACCAACTGGAAGAGATCCGTATTTGTGCCCATTCCAAAGAAACGTGGTCCAACCAAATGCTGAAATTATCGAACAATGTCGTTAATCTCACACACAAGTAAAATTTTGCTGCAGATCATTCAAAAGTGGCTGCAGCAGTACATCAACAGGAAACTGCCAGAAGTTCAAGCCAGGTTCAGAAGAGGATGTGGAATGAGGGCTATATTGCTGATTTTTGATGGATCTTGGCAGAAAGCAGAGAATACCAAAAAGATGTTTACCTGTGTTTTACTGACTGTGCAAAGGCATTCGACTCTGTGGATCATAACAAATTATGGATAATATTACAAAAAATGGGAATTCCAGAACACTTAATTGTGCTCATGAGGAAGCTGTACATAGACCGAGAGGCAGTTGTTCGAGTAAAACAAGGGAATATTGCTTGGTCAAGTCAAGGAAGGTGTGCGTCAGAGTTGTATCTTTTCACCGTACTTATTCAATCTGTAGCTGAGCAAATAATCTGAGAAGCTGGACTATATAAAGAAGAATGGGGCAACAGGACTGGAGGAAGACTCATTAACAGTCTGTGATATGCAAATGACACAACCTTGCTTGCTGAAAGTGAAGAGGACTTGAAGCACTTATTGATGAAGATCAAAGACTACAGCCTCCAGTATAGGTTTCACCTTAACATAAAGAAAACAAAAATTCTCACAACTGGACCAGTAAGCAACATCATGATAAATGGAGAAAATATTGAAGTTGTCAAGGATTTCATTTTACTTGGATCTACAATCGATACCCATGGAAGTAGCAGTCAAGAAATGAAAAGACACATTGCATTGGGCAAATCTGCTGCAATAGACCTCCTTAAAGTGTTAAAAAGCAAAGATGTCACTTTAAGGACTAAGATGAGCCTGACCCAAGCCATGGTGTTTTCCGTTGCCTCATATGCATGTGAAAGCTTGACAGTGAATAAGGAAGACTAAAGAAGAATCAGTGCCTTTGAATTATGGTGTTGGCAAAGAATATTGAATATACCATGGACTGCCAAAAGAACGAACAAATCTGTCTTGGAAAAAGTACTGCCAGGATGCTCCTTAGACGCAGGGATGGGGAGACTTCGTCTCACATACTTCGGACATGTTATCAGGAGGGACGAGTTCCTAGAGAAGGACATCATGCTTGGTAAAGTAGATGGTCATTGAAAAAGAGGAAGACCCTCAATGAGGTGGATTGACACAGTGCTTGCAACATTGGGTTTAAGCATAACAATTGTGAGGCTGGCACAGGACCGGACAGTGGTTCATTCTGTTGTTCGTGAAGTCTCTATGAATCAGAACCTACTGGAGGGCACCTAACAACAATAACAATATGTTATCTGAATCTTTTCAATTCACTTATGCATTCTTTTCCACCTTTTTCCAATGCCCACGGTGATGATTTGTACTCTGACCCTGTTTATTATTACTGGGCTTTATCTGCTAACATTTGAGCACACAGACATTTGTAATGATTCTTCTGGGTCCTCGGTAGTACTCTTTAGATCATATGTAATATTTTATATACCATCCACTTCAAGTACACTCAATGTCAGGATTATTCTTTTACTTTTTTTCAATAAAATATCACATTATGGATGTAAATGTCAAGAATCAGTATAGCTTCAAGTAACAATATAACTGGTTAATGATATTTATTTTTATCAATATTTTGAAATAATTATTATTTCTTGGCACTTTGGCAATGATTCTCTGGTGACAACCTTCAAGCTTTGGAATTGATGGAAAGAAAAGAATTTAGAGGAATTTTTTTGCTTTCCGCTTTTATAATGACAGCATTTTTTCTATGCACAGCAGAAGCCACTGACATATGATTAGTTCCAAATATAGAAGCTGAAGTTCATCAAAAGCGTCTCTACCAAAGGAAGGAAGATTGCTGTTCAGACATTATATATATTCTTGAGTTACCCGTTGGGTCCAAGTTTCATTTATACTGTTATATAAGATCATGCCCACTTTGATTTACTACTTGTAATCCCATCGGAGTGGGGATTGTGGTGGGAATGTGAGTGATGTATTTAATGCTAAATGTCTTTACTTGGTGGCACAGAAGAATTGCAAGATTTATGAAATGCATATATATTTGGGCTTTTTAAATTGTAGGTAATTAATAGGACATTGTTCTTCATTTTTCAGCTGTAGAATTGATCCCAGGTGTCATTTCTTTAGGAAATGAATGTGAAATCCATATGCATGTCAGTTTCATGGGCCAGTCATCAAAGTAGAAAAGGAAATCGTTAGATTGTCTTTGGTGCAAAAATACCTAGACCCTTGAATATAAATAGTAATCACATGGTTACTAAACTTGAAGCTAGTGTGCTTGTGTTAAATTAAATCTATTTGAAATGTGAATATCGTTCTTTGGCTTCAGTGATCCTAACTGCAAAATACCTGCCACAGAAAAGATTCTTTCCTTTACACAGACCAGCTCAGTACTAGCAAACATTCAACTTTGAGATCACGGCATTATGAATAATAGCACGTGCCTAGGCATATCAATTCTCTTCCAACTTCAGCTGCACCATTTGATCGCAGAATAATTAACCCAACAGCACTGCCTTTAAAGCACTATTCGCAATTAAATTCTAACTTACAAAAATGTATCTTCCAGTAGTTCTTAAACTGTTGTTATCACGACTCATTATTTTTTGTAATTCTGCAATCATGAGTATCATATTCATCATGATATATATTTCTTTCATACAGCCAACCCATATTTATTGATCGCCTGCTATAAACCAAAAATGGTCTAGAATCTAGGGATGTTTTATAAGACACTTTATAGGGCATATCAAGTACCTGACTTGCTGGAATTTACAATCTAACATTGTTTATCAAAATAAAGTGCATTTAATGCATTTGAATAAGAACTAAAGGCTGCAGATTTTGTAATACCCCTTGAAATATAGAAAGCTACAAAGCAAGATTTGGAATCACTACCTAATAATTAGATTTTCAACCTAGAATATCCAAGAATGAAAAAAAGTAATGTCTTTTTATTTTACTTATCAAAACAATACCTTTAGTTTTGTAGAAGGGAGTAATGAATATCTGCAATTATTATATGCTGAATTTTACCATGAGTAAAATTTGTTTTGAGATACAAACTGAACTATTTTTTCAGTGCTTAAGTAACTAGTGAGTCATTCTGGTTTACATTAATACTTTATGTCACAGAGGTGAAATTGAGTAAGTTATTGATTAAATAAAGACATTCCTCACAGGAGGTATGTATGTCATATCCGTTTAGATTGTGTAAAGAAATAGTAAGTACTATTAGGGCAGAAACCCTGTCTAGATTTTTACCCTTATTTTTTCAGTATACAGTTTGACAATTTAATCCCCACCATAGAGAGTGCATGCAATTAAAAAGCTGTAGAATGAGCGAGTGAATGAATGAATAAAGAAGACTTTAATAACTCCTTTCCTCACACACAAAGTGGAAGAAGGTGTGAGGGAGATGGAAGTGCTTTCTGAAGTTTGCTGGTTACAGATGAACACACTGCTGCCAGAAAGAGTCACACTACTTTACACTTAAATGTTCTCCATTCTTCATTTCTTTGCAGAACGATTCAACGTGTACCTTATGCCTACACCCAATCTGGATATTTATGGTGAATGTACAATGCAGATCACTCATGAGAATATCTATCTCTGGGATATCCACAATGCCAAGGTCAAACTGGTGATGTGGCCTCTCAGCTCATTGAGGAGATACGGTCGGGACTCAACATGGTTCACATTCGAGTCAGGAAGGTGAGTGCTCAGTGCGGTGACCAAGTGCGGGAGGCGGGAACACTATTGAAGAGAAGGTTGTGACCACTGCCACCCAGGGTGCTCATTGTTGTAAGGGGTAGAAGTTACCAAATATATCATTTCTTCAGATTCCTGTTGATAACCTGTGTAAAGTTGTGTTGATTGTATGGCAGGATTATTGCCTTATTCAGAAAAAGTTTGGTTTCTTCTATTGACATCAAATTAGTTTTATAATTATCTCAATAATGCACTATTGTTTTGCAAATGATTGCAATACTCTATTTTGGTGTATCCTCATTCAGTAGGACTCTCATGAAATTCAATATGTCCTTGCTTGCATTATTTGTAAAGTTTTTTTCTTTTTTTATTTAAAAAAAAAGAGTTTTGGTGAAAGTTTACACAGCAAATTAGGTTCTCTAATTTCTGCACATACTTGGTTACGTTGTCCACCTTGCGTCAACATTCTCAGTATTTCCATTATGGTTCTTTTCTTTCCGTTATTCTTGCTTCCCTGCCTACCCATCCTGCCCTTCCCCCGCCCCCCCCCAACCTTCTCATCTTTGCTTTAGGGTAAATGTTGACTATTTGGTCTCAAATAGATTATTGGTTTATGTATATTTCTAAAAGGAGCACAGTACTCACAGGTGGTATTATTTTATGAGCTAATCTGTTATTTAGTTGAAAGATGACCTCCAGGATTAGTTACAGTTTAGAGTTTAAAGGGTATCTCAGGGTGATAGTCTTGGGGGTTTCCCAGGTCTCTGCAGATCCAGTAAGTCTGACCTTTTTTTAAGATTTTGAATTTTGTTCTACAATATTTTCCCATTCTATCAGAACAGTTGGTAGTGGTAGTTGGGCACCATCTAGTTCTGGTCTCTGGATAGGTGAGGTCATGGTTTGTGTAGGCAATTGGTCCTGTAGACTGGTTTCTTCTTTCAGTCTTTGGTTTCCTTCTTTCTCTTTTGCTCCAGATGAGTAGAGACCAATAGTTGTATCTCTGATGGCTGTTCTCAAGCTTTTAAGACCCTAGACGTTACTTAGCAAACTAGGATATAGAATATAAACTTTGTAGACAATGTTGTGCCAATTGACTGAGATGTCCCAGGAGACTATGGTCCTAAGCCTTCAAACTCAGTAAACCAATCCTGTGAGGTGCTTGGTTATGTCTGGGAGGTATCTGTGACTGTGAGCCCTGTGTGCTTTATTATATATATATATATGAATATATGTACAGCACTCACAAACATGTATATAGAGATACATACAGATACACTATATATGCTTACGTATATACACATATTGCTGAGCAGATAATCCAAGAAGCTTGACTATATGAAAAAGAACATGGCATCAACATTGGAGGAAGATCATTAACAACCAACAATATGCAGATGACACAACCTTGCTTGCTGAAAGTGAAGAGGACGTGAAGCACTTACTGATGAAGATCAAAGACTACAGCCTTCAGTATGGATTATACTTCAGCCAAAATCTTCACAACTGGACCAATAAGCAACATCATGATAAACAGATAAAATATTGAAGTTGTCAAGGATTTCATTTTACTTGCATCCACAATCAACGCCCATGGAAGCAACAGTCAAGAAATCAAATCATTAGGCAAATCTGCTTCAGAAAACCTCTTCAAAGTGTTAAAAATGCAGAGGTGTCACTTTGAGGACTAAGGTGTGCCTGACCCAAGCCACGGTATTTTGAATCACCTCACATGCATGTGAAAGCTGGACAATGGGTAAGGAAGACCGAAGAAGAAGTGATACGTTCAAGTTATGGTGCTGGTGAAGAATATTGACTATACCATGGACTTCCAGAAGAAAGAACAAATCTATCTTGGAAGAAGTACAGCCAGAATGTTCCTTAGAAGCGGGGATGGAGAGACTTTGTCTCATGTACTTTGGACATGTTATAAGCAGGGACCAGTCCCTGGAGAAGGACATCACGCTTAGTAAAGTAGAGGGTCAGTGAAAAAGAGGAAGACCCTCTACGAGATGGATTGACACAGTGGCTGCAACAATGGGCTGAAACATAACAATGACTGTGAGGATGGTGCAAGACTGGGCAGTGTTTTGTTCTGTTGTACATAGGGTGACTATGAGTCAGAAATGACTTGACAGCACCTAACAACAACAACAACATATACACATGTATACCTTCCTATACACATATATACATATATATCTGTGTAACCATTCACGCATTTTTTGGTTGTTACTGCTGTTGCCAAATTGTATATGTTATAGCATTTACCAATACTGTCCCTTATTCTTGTGTACTTCTTGTGTCATCCTTTACATTGGTTAAGTTGTGCTTACTTCACTAACATTCAGTATTGCCTTCCTTGTCACCAAAACTAACAATTGTCTTCTGTCTAGAGAGTGATTTCCCCTCCCTCACCCTCCCATGCCTGGTAACCACCAAAGAACATTGATTTCTATAAGTATACCTATTTTTGTCTTTTTATAAAAGTAGCATCATATAATATTTGTCCCGTTGTGCTTGGTTTTTTCATTCAGCATAATGTCCTCCAGATTCATTCATGTTATGTTTGGTGGACTCATCATTGTTCTTTATAGCTCCATAGTATTCTACTGAATGTATATACCACATTTTGTTTATCTGTTCATCCATTGGTGGGCACTTAGGTTGTTTCCATCTTTTTGCTGTTGTGAATAATGCTGCAG